ATTGATCCTCTTAGGTTGTTGATCATGTCTCTCACCCTAATGAGGATGTCAAGGCCAAGCTGCCCAAATAGATCATGCTTTCAGGTAGCAGGAGGGAGTTAAAAAGGAGCTCCTGTAGAGATTAGAGAAGTTCTACAGAGAGAAAGTTGAGAAGGAAAAAGAGCATGTGGCTGAAATAGATGACATGATCGTGGAAGTGAGGATGAGTGTTGCTGCTGCTGTCTCGGAGGCACAAATCAAGCTTGCGGAGGATCTTGAAAATACGGGATCCTAGAATGTATCAGTATGGCGTGTAGCCTTGAGCAACTTGATTGGTGAGCCTGCTGGTGCCAATCGGGATCCTACATCGCAACCAAAGGAAGGAGGAGAGAAGATGGAGGTGGCTTTGGGTGGTGGTGATCAGGTTGTAGTTTAATTTTTATCCTGTTAAAAAAAATTTATATTTTCTTCCTGTAAGACAATCTTTCTCTTTTTATGAGGTAGGTGGGCAACCCTTTTAATATCTTGCCATGGATGTTTTAATATTTCTGCTTGTATGATAGATTTGTGTGGCTGTAGTGAATGGATTTCTTCAAATGGCTAGGATCCTGCAAAAATCTCAAATTCTTGATAACCTTCAATAGTTAGTCTATTATTTTAGGATCTCAAGTCAGTTTGGATCCTTAAAGATAAATCTTCAGTTATAATCAAAATAGTTCAATAAGGATAGATAGAACCTGGTGTTCCTTAGGGTTCATAATCCTTTGATTCAAGAAAAATTTAAAGTTGTGATTCCTTTAACATAATTTGGGAGTTTGCGTATGGAAGGATCCTTATTTCATGAGTTTATCATGAAAAGATCCCTATTGAGCATTTACTTAGCAACCCGGGGAGGATCCCTCTTTAGGAATTAGCCGGGAATGATCCCAACTTCAAATGCAACTGGGAAGGATCCCTGGCTATGACATATTAATGCTACAAACCGTAGACATTTCCTGGGAAAAAAAATCCCATCTTACGATTATGTTCAGTAAACTTCTGGGGAGAATTGCAACTTAAAATAACACGTTAGTTTTGTAAACTTTAGGAAATAACTGGGGAAAATCATAACCTAGGATAACACATCAGTTTTACAGACTTTAGCAAATTACTGGGGAAAATCCCAACTTAGGATAACACATAAGTGTTATAAACCTTAGCAAGTCACTTGGGAAGATTCCAACTTAGGATAACACGTAAGTGTTATAGACCTTAGTTAAATCACTCTGGAAGATCCTAACTTAGGATAACACGTAAGTGTTATAAACCTTATGTTTAAACGTTAGGATCTTGACATATGTTCATAAATAAGAGGGTTTCCTAGTCACTAAAGCATGAAAAGATCCCTTTATTCGCATCCCATAGTAAGATTTCGTGTGTCCAAGCGAGGTGTAACAACCTTAACTCGTATGAAAGAGGCAATTAACTCTTTAAACCTTAGATGGGATTAATTACCCTTAATTGTAAGAGAGATGATCAATCTCTGTTCGAAGTTACTTGGATAATCGGGTATTGCAATCGTCAAGATCATAGAATTTTGAATACGTTGGGATCCATGAGTGCTAGGAACCTCAAATGTTAGGATCCTATAATGTAAGGATCATTGAATATTAGGATCCTTGTGTGCCAAGAGCCTTGAGTTCCTATACATAACAAACGTTAGCTTGGGGTGGGCGTTACCTTGGTTAAAGCCCCTCCAATGCTTAAGTTAGTAATGGTTTTCAGAAGAATAAAAAGAATCAGATAAAAGTAGAGGGTAGAGAGAGTGTAGCTTGAGTTTGTTTGAAAATCATCAACATAACTTCCACAAGGTATGCTTTTAGATGGATGCCATTCCAGGATCTTTGAAGGATGTTACCCTCAAGGGTAGCTAGCCGATATGCCTCTTTCCTGTTTTTGAATCAATGAGATATGGTCCTTCCTATTTAGGTGCCAATTTTCCTGTTCCAGGATCCTTAACATTTTCCTCAGTACCAAGTCACCTTCTTGGAACCTTCTGACTTTGATTTTCTTGTTATATGCTTTAGTGATCCTCTGATGATGAGAAACAATGCGGATCCTGACAAGATCCCTGAGTTCATCGATGGTGTCAAGATCATGGACTGTGATCCTATGATTGTTCTCTTGATCCTTCAATTGATATCTTGATGTTGGGACTACTACTTCAGTAGGGATCACAACTTCTATTCCGAACACCATGGAGTATGGAGTTTGGCCAGTGGCTGCCTTTAAAGTGGTCCTATCTGCCCATAGGACGAGAGGAAGTTCCTTTTCCCATCTTCCTTTCTTCTCATATAACTTCTTCTTTAGATTGTTGACTATGATCTTATTATTGGATTCAGCTTGATGATAAACATGAGTGGAAATTATCATTTTAATCCCCAAACTTGTGCAAAAGTCTCTAGTCCTTTTTCTTATGAACTAGGATCCACTATCGCATATAATCTCAACAATGATCCCGGACCTAGTCAGGATATTTCGTTTGATAAAAGAGACCACTTCCCTGTCTCGTACTTGAACAAAGGCTTCATCCTCTATCCATTTCAAGAAGTGGTCTGTCATCACTAGCATGTACACCTTTCCACTAGGAGCTTTTGGTAGCTTGCCAACTATATCTATTTCCTATTTCATGAATGGCCAAGGGGAAATGATAGGATGCAATGGTTTTGCTGGTTGATGAAGGATGTTACTATATCTTTGACAAACATTGCATCTTCTGGCATGCAAGAAAGCATCCTTTTTCATTGTTGGCCAGTAGTATCCGATCCTTAATGCTTTAGAGCATAAGGATCTGCCCCTAGTGTGGTTTCCATAATCTCCTTCGTGTATATCTTTTAGGACTTCTACAGCTTCGTGATCTTCTAAGCATCTAAGGTATGTGTTTTGGTCAAAAAATAATTTAACAGAAATGGACCAAAGTGTATAAGCACCAAAATTTATACCTGAAAACCGAATGTTAAAATTGTGGGTTGTACCTGATCCCACATCGACTGGGAAGGATAACTAAACATTCCTTATGAGGGGTGTGGATATCTTCCCTGTCACAACACGTTTTAAAGTCGTAAGAGCAGCAAATCCCATAAGAACCATTCAATTAAGCGTCCCCGGACGAGAGCAATTCAAGGATGGGTGACCTTTAGGAAATTTTCATGTCGAGATCCCAAAGCGGACCATATTATGTTACGTGTCAGAGGGGGTGTTACAAATTGTATCAGAGTTGGAGCACGGGTCAATGTCTTTGAAATGGACGTTGAACCCTATAAGGGGAGGGTGAATGTGGGTTGCACCGGATTGCATAGTGGTTGGGAAGGATAACTAAACATTCCTTATAAGGGGTGTGGATTCTTTCCTTGTCTTAACGCGTTTTAAAGCCGTGAGGGAAGCAGATCCCATAAGAACTCTCCAGTTAAGCATACCCGAGTGAGATCAATTAAGGGATGGGTGACCCCCTAGGAATTTTTCGAGTTGGGAGCCCAAAACGGACAATATTACGATACGTGCCATAGGGGTGTTACAAATAACAAAGATAAAAGTCAAAAGACTAATTACTGAAACGACAAGAAGACAAATCAACACTACTAGCAACAATATCAAACACTTTGAGTTGATAAAAGACATATAGTTCTCCTAACTTACGGTCGATCCCAATCACCCTCTGGGAGTGAGAATCAAGAACACACAACAAGAATCATAAAAAAAACCCAACAACCAAATTTACATAAATGACTAACTGACGCAAGATTTAAAGCAGGTGTAGGAATATAATAGACATCATTAAGAAATATATGAGGAGTGACAATAGAACCAACAACCTCTATAAATATAGGTGTAGCCCTAGCATACATGAGTGAAACAGATGATCTATAAGACAAAGAAACAAACGATGCAAGTAAAGTGACATACGATGAGATGCACCAGAGTCCAAGATCTATAAACATGAAGGAATACCTGAAGTATTGGATGAGGAAAGACCTGAATGAGATGTGGATGTAGACATGGTTGCATAATTAAGAGCTAAGAACTGTCTAAACTGCTCAAGAACTTAAGGATCCAACACAGAAGATGGCATGGTGGGAGCATAAACATTAGTTTCTAATGTAGGGTGAAACGATAGCGGCTGAAACGATCTAGATGATCTATCTTGTTGCTGCTTTGGCTTGTTTAATAACAATGGGCACTGAGACTTCCGATGGTTATTCTGTGTGCAATAAGCACATTCATCAAAATTAACTTTTCGAACTAGTCTATCCTTCAAATCCATATTGACAGTAAACAATCAAACAATAATCCTAAACCAACAATAGACGAACAAATCAAACCCTCAAAACCAATAACGAACAACAACAGTCAAACCGAAATATCAAAACCTCGAAATCGACAAATACCGTCAATAACCAAACAAACTAAACTTTGAACAATAACCAATGCTAAAAAAAATGCTTGTTGAGCAAAAAATCGTGGCACAATTATAACAATCACAGCAAGAAACGACAAAAAAATGGTATTTTTGTGGCGGCGGTGAGAAATTGTGGTGAGAAAACAACGAAAAAGGTTATTTCACGGCTCAAAATATAAAAAGCGGTGCGAAAAATGACGAAACGTGAACAATTGAAACCCTTACAAAACGACAAAAATCGATCAAATCAAACCAAACGGAATACATAAATAGATCAGAAAGTCATACCCAAAATCCCCAAAAATTCCGATCTTATGTAGTCGGCCCCAACAATCATAACCCACATAATCGAGTATAGCTCTGATACCATGTAAATTAATAAACACAATATTGCTAGAGTTTTATTATTAAATAATAAAAAACAACATTTACAATACTAAAAAAACAAATTTAAAAAAAGGACAATATATATTGAAAAGCTAATTAGGTTAACGGCCTAAACCAAAAACTGGCCTAAAAGATTTATTATGCTGACAATTTCTCCTAGCCTTCGTCGAGATATCTATGCAGGTTGTGTATGGCATCCATGATCCATAGTGGCTCCCTGATAACAATTTCTCCTAGCCTTCGTCGAGATATCTATGCAGGTTGTGTAAGGCATCCATGATCCATAGTGGCTCCGTGATAAAGAGCTATCCCTGTTTGAAGTTGGGATACTTTCTCCATATTTGTCTACAAACTTATTATCTGTAATCATATCATAAAAATAGTTTTTCTTTTGATAAATATGCAGTAACGATACAACTAGAAAAACTTTAAAGAAGAGATAAATTTTATAAAATTACGAAAATTATTTATTTTTTGGATTTATATTAATATTTTAAACACTTTTATATATCCATCACAAGAGGAACGATCACCCCCATGGTGTGAACTACACATTTGTCCCTTCAGAATAAGATGTTGGAAATTTATTTATGATGAAAACATTAAATGTATTCCGTGGAATATAATGAATATGACAATTTTGGTTGTTGATTTTCCACCAAATATTTGGTTGCAAGGTATTGGATTTTTGTGCAAAGTCATATTTCTACTTGATTGATATTTTTATGTTCTTTAAACGGAAAACAAATCTTTTATCATATATATTTATAAAAGCAATGTTTTATTGATTTATATATAAGTTTCAAAATAAAATTCACGACTCTACAAATTATGTGATAAACTGTGATCACTAAAAAGTCTTATATTATTTAGAAAGAGTTTTAGATTATTAGTAAGGTTGATATTGTTATAAATAGCCAATTTTCTGAAATATCTCCATTTGAGTCCATTATAAGGAGACCAATTTTTGGATTTATTTAACTTCAACTTGTAGTTTGTTATGTGAAATATGATTGTTGACCCGTTACAAAATAATTTGCCAACATGTATTTTTCCTTAATTTTATATATTGATTCTTATTACCGTAACTTTTAATTTTTTGTTTCTTTTGTTTTTATAGCAGTAGCAGTTGCAACTATTATTATTATTATTATTATTATTAATTATATATATATATATATATATATATATATATATATATATATATGGAAAAGTTCAATAGAGAACAATAATTATTGGTTCTTCAAGGAACTAAATCTTTTTTTCAATTTCTAGAGCTTATTCTTTACCGAAAAAAAAATCTAAAAAAATATAAATTCATATATTAACATTGTGAATGTGAAAAATATTTTTCGGATTCACCGTGTAAATCCGGATTCACGTTGTGAATTTTCAAAGATTCACATTGTGAATTTGACGTAAAAAAAAAAAAATTTTGAATTTGATATCATTGGAAAAAGGATAAAAAGTTATGAATTTCTGTATTTTTAGTTTTTTTTTTGATAAAAAATAAGTTGTAAAAGCTGAAAAAAAGATTTGTTCCTTAGTTCCTTGGTTAATTATGGTTCTTTATTGAACCTCACCCTATATATATATATATATATATATATATATATATATATATATATATATTAAAATTATGGAGAAAAGAAACAGTTAAGTTGACACATTTTGTCCAGCTTTCGTCCCTTGAATTACGTTTTCGGTCCTCTATATTTGTTTGTCTTTCACTTCTTCAATAAAAGAAGTGGACGACTTCTGTCACATAATAAACAGGGACCAATTCTGCCAATTTGTAATGCAGTCTCCACCGATTGCTATTTTCCCAAAAACCCACCGCCTCCCATTCTATCATCCACTTTACCCGTCAGCTTGCTTTTCATTCACACCGGCGAATCCTTCCCCGAGATAAGAACGGAGCTGATACGTGTGGTTCCCACGCCTTCCCCGACCGGTTCTGCTTACCTTCCCCCACCTGCTTTCTCATCCACCTATGCCCTTTGGGTCGAGAAACGAAGAGCCTCTGTACGACGGGACTAGAAATTCCCCACCGAAGCTTTCCGGTTTACCGGAGGCGACAAGTTGTTTGATCGTGAACAGGAATAGTACACGTTCACCTCCGTAAAGCTGAATAGTGACGGCCGTTCGGTGAAGATGCGGGCATCGACACACGCATCAGGTCTGTTTCTCATACCCATTTATGATGATTCGATTTGTTTAGTCGAAGTCAAAATCCATCGGACCTTCTACTCTTTCATCTTTTGAAGAACACCACTGCGAGGTTACATATTCCTTGGGTTATTTACTTCAGTCCTAAATCGGTTGAAGGAATAGGGTAAAATTTCTGGTTTGGAGCTTAATGGTGACCATGAACGCACCATTGTCGGCCCCCTTCGCTTCTCGGGTGCCCCGAATTCTCCATTGTTGCTTCTTCAGACTTCCTTCACCAGGTTCGTACTTCGTTTGAATCATTCCTTTTCCAGGTTTAATGTTTTTAGTTTTCGTTTTTTTTTGGGTATTCCTGCTTATCTTCAGGTAGGGTTTCGTTCGTCAAGTCTGAATTTCAGTTTCCGATTGCTTAATTTTTCAATTCGGTCTTTGCTTGGTTGCGTTTTTTTGCAATTTTTGTTTGATTTGGAGATTTTGTTCCACACAGGTTACCAATTTACTGTCAAATTTGTCTCGAAACTGAGTATTATCTCGACTTCTGCCATCCTCTTCCAATGGGTGTACATCTTTTATGTCCAACCACCGACATATGAAATTGAAGAATAGAGGAGATTGAGAGGGAGATATTTAAAGTAGACAGGTAAATCACTTATTAGCTAAATTTTCCTTTATAAATGGTCAGACATAAAGCTATTTGTGTATTCAAAAGTTTTTAATTTATTGTTTATATAATTGTTTCAACTTCTTTGAGCTTTAAAAGACCTAAGGTTTCTATGTTTAGATTTAAGTTTAAAAGTTGAAAACACCTAAGGTTTCTATGATTGTAATATTTATAAAAGTTGAAAAGCATGACAGAAAATTTTCAAGGGCATAGACGCAACGCAGTTGCACCCAATGGGTTAATAGGCAGCAACATACAAAACGAGAGGTGTTTTTTTTGTTCCTTTTTCTAGAACATAATAACGTATGGGTTTATAGATTTGACTAAGGCACTGAACATGCAATAAGTTTTTGACAAAAGATTGACTGCATCATTCAAGAGACTCTTTCTGTTAATGATGATGATGTTAGTTTTAGATATTCTCAATTTAATTTCTCATATACTAAATTTATGATTTAAACTTTTTGATGATGTTGTTTATTTCAGAATGGTTCTCTGCTCTTGCACAGTGACTTAATTTCTGGAAATTCTACTACTGAGTCGACTCAACCGGGTGAAGTTATTAGTTGTTCTGCCAGTGGTATAAAGCTACTAACGGCCTAACAGTATGTTTCATGGAACTGTCATCTCTTAATATGACATTTTACATATATGATAATTTAGGTAATTAGGCATTTGTCTTGGTCTGCAGCTACTTTTTGAGTCAAGTGAAGAAAACGGGCCAGGTGAGTAGTTGTTACTTGTAACTTAAAATAATTTTTGTTAACTGATTCAATGTTTGGTTTCTCGGTGAGAGGTCTTGGTTTGATTCCCGGGGTGGTTGGACGTTTTGATTCTGTGAATGGTTGTAGAGTGCCTCATATTGGCTGGAATACTTTGCAAATTAAAAAAGATTCACTTATTTTAGATGATATTGCAAACCGACATCTATATTTTGTTCATTCTTATCGTGCTGTACCGGTATGTTTTTTTTTTTTTTTTTAATAACCAAATACCAATTTTACCCCTGACCATGGTTTTTATACAACACAACAATCCGAATAAAATAGAGTTTCGGATACATTTATAACTTTCAACTACACATCTTCTGAAACAATGTATTGCTTCATTACTTTCGAAAGCAAAGGTTTCATACGGAGCCACTCCAGCCAGTGCCATAGTTTTTGTCCAAATTGTCCCTTCATACTCTTTTTCTTTTTGGATAAAAAAATAATGATTTACTGCTTTTTGGTCAATTGATCTTTCATACAAAGTTTGTTGCTTCTGTAAAATGCAGAAGCTTTGTCTAAAAGGATTCTTGATTTCATGATATTTGGATGGAATTACTAGGGAAAAATGTAGCAAGTCGCCTCCAAGTACGCAACTCTTTTCTTGAAAATTGGCCTAATTGGCCTCTTTTGATGTTATAGAAATTACAAAAAAAAAAAAAAATCTTTTTATTATTATGTTTTTTTTATCGTTTAAAAATTTTATTTACTAATTAAGCCACTACACTAACATTTTTTTATTGATTTAGTCATTAAACTATTAGTTTTTGATGATTTATCCACTGAAGTATTATGATGAAAATCTAAAAAAGAAATATTTCAAGTGGCTAAATTTATATAATGGTTTTTTTCTGTATTTTAATAGAACAACAGAACAAAATGGCTTGGCTATTATTTCAATTTTTTTTTTTTCGTTTTTCTTTTGCATTATGATGCACTTTTTTAAGTTTCTGATGTTATTGATTGTGTATATCTATAATGCCACAAGTTGTGCTTATATAAACATATATGTAGACATTTTTTACACTTGCAGCTGGAATTTGAGTGGCAAAGGATGTGGAGGCTACAGTTCTTTAGGTTCTTCCAATTTCAGCAGTAATGGTTTTATTGCCATTATGTGTAATTTCCATTTTTTCGTTTTAAGTGCACTAAATAGCAATGCGCTTTGAATTTACATCTTTTTTTTTGTAATTCATTTTTTTACCAACAAACAAAGTACATTGCTATTTGTTGCATCTTTTCATATTTCCATGTATTTGATATTATACTCTATTCAATCTATACAGTTGCTTAGTATTTGAATGACATTATAGCATCCTACTTTCGTGACCTGCCAAACATCAACAACAAAAATCGACCCGTGCAACGCACGGGCCTCATTTCTAGTATATATTAAAGAAGTTAAAAGTTAGGAATAATAAACTTGCATGTTTTTTTGTCAACTTTGCCCCTCATTTTTTAGCCATTTTGACACTTTTGGTCATTGCAATCAAAATTTTTATATTTTTTAGGAACCTTTTAATATTCAAAGTTTGGCAACAAAACTTTAAAGAATTAACAACTTTGGTCCCTTTTCTAAAAACTTGCTAATTCTAACCCCTTTAATTCTGTATCCATTTTGACACTTTTGGTCCTTACAATCAAAACTTTTATATTTTTTCATAAAAAACACAACCCGGGACAGAGCCCGGGTTTTTCCGCTAAAAGAGTCAACAATTAGTTAGGAATAGTAAAACTCACGTTTTTTTGACTGTTTTCATTATTGCACTTTCTGTGTCTATCATTTTCTTCTTTTGGTATATTTTTTCTATACTGGTCCTCATATTTAACTTTTTTGTTTTTTTCCTGCCCTCTACCTATCCGTCTCCGACTGTTTATCCGTATGAAAATAATCCAAAGTCAACTAAAAGAGTCAACAACCACGCATATTAATCTATAAACAAAAACGACACTCAAATCAGACGCATACGGCTCATGCGAAGCATGGGCAACATATCTAGTTATTATTATTATTATTACAAATAATTTGTCTTTGAGCACAAGCAAAACACATAAAACCAAAGATGGGGTCGATTTTTTATTTTTGTTTTAATTCAGGTATTGATACAGAAGTTTAATAATAATAATTATTATTTAATTATAATAAAAATACAAATAGTTTGTTAATATTCCCAGAAGTGGCATTCTTGGATTAGAGCTTGTATGATCTCAGCTCGAGCTTCTGTGTTAATTAATGGTAGCCCAACGAAAGAGTTTTAAATGCAAAAGGGTCAACGGCAGGGAGATCTTTTATCTCTGTTTCTTTTTATTCTCATTATGGAGGGACTTCATGTTGCCATTAAGGATTCGAAGGCTGCCAATCTTTTTTCTAGTGTACAGGTCGGGAAAGGAGACAAGTTCATATTTGTTCTTTAGAAATTGAACAACTCGATCATCTTTGGGTCAACTCGAGGAATTAAAAGCAGCCAAATCGAGGAATTGATGTTCCTTCTTTTATTTGTGCTTTAGAACTTGAACAACTCGATCATCTTTTTATCCAATGTGAAGTGGCTTCAAGAACTTGGAATGGCTGTAACACCGTGTTTCGAATCGTTTCCCATTTCAGGGTGGTGATCAAGGATTAGGTATTAGCAGACATAGGACCCTTGAAGAATTGAGATTTGGACTCATTTGGGGGTGGATGATGTAATTGTTGGATTAGGTGTCTAAGTCTGTAACTATAATTGGTATGTACTTGATATGATAGTAGCATGGTCCTTTTGGGTTGCCTTCACCATAGCAACTTGACACGATGACTTTTGGAGAGAGAAGTTATTTAATGATTTATTAATATATTATAAGAATAATATATTAATTAGAAATCATATTATTTAATTAGAAATTAATTTGATATAATTTTGGGATTAAAGGAACTGATTAAAAGTAGGAGGACTGGTTATGCAAATCATTAATAGTTGCAAATTGGGCTGCTGGACAGCCTTGGAATGGTTTGGACGAAATCTATAGGATGCCCTATAAAAATCGTCCAAGGCCTTCCAGAAGGGAGGTCCATGGGCTGCTTGGAGCCTAAGTAAGGAATTACGGTTTTCCCTGGAAACCCTAGCAGCCACAAGTATATAAAGGCCCCTAGACCTCTTGAAATCGGCCACTGCTTCACAAGGAGAAACCCTAGCCGATTTCTGCCACTCTCTCACTCATCTTTTGCTTTTGGTGTTTGTGATTCCATTAGAGGTGCAACACGTGAGGCACTCAAGCTTTCAAGAGTCAATATCATCTGTAGATTACTTGTTATTACGAGATAACAAGGAAGGTAAGAATCAAACCCTAGTTTTCATATTGATTTCTGAAATTGTATGCTAGTATTAGGGTTGTTGCTTTGGAACTTCTATTTGCATGTATAACTATAGAAAAACTTAGATCCAAAGCATTAGGGTTGCATGAACACATAGGAATATTGTTGTGCTCAAAACCCATCAGTGGTATCAAAACCTAGGATGTTTTTCTGTTATATTTGATGCAATAGTGAAATGTCCAAATCGTTAGCAAAGCAGAAATCGTCTTCTGTCAGATGAACTCGACGAGTTCCATGAGGAACTCGATGAGTTGGATGAACTCGACGAGTTGACTCGTCTGTTATCAAAATTTTCGAATTATTGATCTATTTTAGATTAGGATAATTGCCATAAATCGTTTTTATCACCATAAATTGATTTTGTTGATTCGTAATCTAATTTTCTTATCAAAATAGATAGATTTGGTCAAATTTTAAGATAATGGCAAATTATGTGATTAATTAATTATTTAAAAGTTGATTTAACCCTTTAAGTTTTGGAATTTAAAATTTAATTAAAAGTTTAATTTTGAAATATTAAATTCTAAAACCCTAGTATTTTAAAAGTTTAAAATACAACCCTTATACTATTATAATATTAAAAGATTAATATATATATATATATATATATATATATATATATATATATATATATATATATATATATGTGTGTGTGTGTGTGTGTGTGTGTGTGTGTGTATGTATAAGATGAGTCAGTCTTACTGTTAGTAGGCCTCATTCATGAAGCTGATCTATAAGGGGTGTTTAAGGAAGCGGCCTATAAAATAACCGCCATTGGGTATCCATTCTTACCCAGCGCACTCTTGACTAGTGGAGGGTTGTTAGTCGAACGGGTAGGATAGGATGTTAATTCTCTCATTAATAAGTATAATGACAAATATAAAGTAACTAAATGTTTTTATAAATTCCCAATCTTAGTTACCTTAGGAAAATGTGAATTTGATGCTAATCCATGAAGTTGCACATTGCACCTTGTCAAGTCGTTAGTGGAGCGTGTGTGGTTAACTGACACACTAACTTGGACTAACAAGGGTGGCAATGGGTAGCTCGTAAATTATCACAGATCAATGGAGCGTGTGTGGTTAACCGGCACATTGATTAGGTGGTAAATGATATCAAGAGTACCAAGCTAATTTTCATGGTTATTCACACCTTGTTTGTGATCCTCGGTATCCCAGTCACAAACTTGAAGGGCATAATCGAGATTAGACATGCCATTGAATAGTTCAATGAATCTCAAAGAATCTAGAAATTTCATTTCATTTAAAACCTAATTCTTTATTTCATTTTTCGTGGTGGAATTGGTAAATCGTCATTTACCTACCTTCAAATAATTACAATTGGATTAGGAGATCCCTCTTTCGAATTGTGAATTATTGTGTTGGGTCCTAGCCTTAATATTTCATTTTGGGTGTCATATTAAGGATTTCTTATCTAATCAAAACTTTGTCCTTTTTCTTTTGCAGATGTCTACCTCAAATAATGCTCCCGCTCCCTCCAACAACAACTCCAAAAACTCTTTCTCACTCTTGAACATATGTGCGAGGATTATGTTTGATGGTTCCAACTTCAATGATTGGATCCAGAACATTCGTATGGCCTTGCGTTACAAGGATAAAGAATATGTCCTTCACAAACTGTTGAACGATATTGATGAGTCCAAAGCTACTCCTGAAGAAATAGATGAGTATGGGGTTCGCTACAAGGATGCCACTAAGGTGTCCTGTATTATGGTAGCCATCATGACTCTTGAGCTGCAGCGGTTCTATGAGGACTACTGGTCCTACGAGATGTGCAAGGTATTGATGGAAAAGTACCATCAAAAAGCGCGTCAAGAGAGGTACGAGATATTCACCTCGTTAATCACCACAAAAATAAGGGACGGAGAGTCCATAACGACCCACCTGCAAAGAATGCAGAGGTATGTGGATCATTTGCTCAAGTTGAATGTCAACTTTGACGAAGATATGGCTATTAACATAGTCCTACACTTTTTTCCTGCTTGCTATGATCAGTTCAAAATGACTTATCATATGAGCAATGAGGAAGTCACATTGAGCAAACTCCAAGGTCTGCTAAGAACTGTTGAAAGTGGATTGAAAGGGAAAAGTGTTGAATCCACTCCTATTCGTGCAACTGCTTCTATCCTGGCTATTTGAAAAGGAAAAGGGAAGAAGAGCAAAGCTCCCTCGAAGAACTGGAAGGGAAAGTCTCATGATGGATCTTCTATTAGTGGATCCAAAGCCAAAACCGGTTCTACCACTCCCTCCTCTGATCCTAAAGAAGCAATGTGCTTCTACTGCCATGATATTGGTCATTAGAAGAGAAGGTGCCTGAAATACTTGCAGGACATCAAGGATAGGAAGATAAAACCTTCATTCGCAGGTAATTAGACTATTCTATCTAATAACTCATCACATGCTAGTTCTTGGGTCCTTGATACAGGATGTGGTTTTCACATTTGTTATGATTTATAGGGGCTAAGAAGAAGTATGGATGTGGAGCATGGGATGATGAACTTGATTATGGGCAATTGGAAGTCATCTCCTGTTACCAAGATATGAGTTTACTCTTTAGTGCTTAGTAGTTGGTTAGGGTTAGATTTGAATTATTGTTGCTACTCGTCAGAAATGACGAGGAATATTATTTCTTTTCATGGTTTGTACAGACAAGGATTTAAACATTCATTTAATAATGAAAGTGGATCTATAAATGCTTATTATAATGGTACTTTTTATTTTGAAGCACTTCCTTGTAATGGTGTATATGAAACTATGATGGTTGTTGATAAATTAGGAAATAATGTGTTGCATATTGATTTGTCTAATGGTATAGACAAGGCATGATTGTGGCATTGTCCTCTTGGACATGTCAACAAGAAGCGCATAGCCTAACTCCAAAAGGATGGAGTGTTGGAGTCATTTGACCTAAAGTTTGATGACACATGCGAATC